AAGAAGAAGAAGAAGAAGAAGAAGAAGAAGAAGAAGAAGAAGAAGAAGAAGAAGAAGAAGAAGAAGAAGAAGAAGAAGAAGAACAACAACAACAACAACAACAACAACAACAACAACAACAACAACAACAACAACAACAACAACAACGAATGAGTTTAACAACAAAGGAACTCTATTTCCAGAACCTACGAGTATGACTTCAGCCGAGGCGAGATTTGTACTCTCGTCTTTTTTAATCCGCTTTGGGCATACGACAACTGGGAACTGGATATCTCAACAAACGCTGTGCTTAGGGTCTTGAAACTTGTTGGAGATAAAACGCATGTGAATTCGAGTACATAAATTATAAGTGGTCTTAACTCAGATTTCATGAAAAGTGGACATACGACAGTTGCACCCTGGGCCGACGATCTGACACGGGTGTGTGGTTCCAAGGTAACATGAGCCCCCATTGGGGATTCATCGTGCCAGTTCAATACACGGACCAGCTTGTTCAATGCGCCAAACAGGATTTTTTTTTTCAGGACAATTAACATTACAGTCCTTAACAGAAATCAAGGAACAAACCGTACAAAAAAGCAGTGCTGTATATCTTTCATACTCCATTACAGTTAGAACTGGGCTATGAGTCGCTTCAGCAAAATCCGGATAAAATTTTAGTGCACCTCTTCGGCTAATAATATAATATGAACCGCTTCTGCAAATGGGTTAGAACCACTTTGACAAACGGGTTACCATCACTTCAACCAATGGGTGCACCCACTTCGGCAAACGGGTCAGGAAAGAGAGTCAAGAGTCTGAAATCGGATAATGTTTCATTGAGAATTATCCGGTTATCCTTTTGGATCATCCGGATTTTGCACACCTCTAATTACAGTAACAAGATATTCCAAGTGCAGAGGTAGAGATATTTTATGTGATCGATGTATTCCTTCCCCAATTATCCAGTTATGAAAAAAAACACAAACTAAACAAAGGGTGACATTTAGCTGAATTGGTATCATGCTGACAAGGGAATGACAGTAATCCGGATCCACACCCCTCACATATAGCTTTGTTGAGCTTATTATGCTGTTTTGAAATAATTCATGGCCTTTCCTATACCTTGCTCAGATTTACCGTAAACGTTAAATTCTGCCGTCGCGCCACATAAAACAATATTACGCTATTTACAGTGTTGAAAGAGACGTCCTGTCCTACCGAACTGTACAAAGATTTCTGTTACCTCTAGACACACCACAGGGGG